CCAATAGCTGAACGTGCCCGTGTCACATGACATTCACCTTGCAGAAATTATCGTAGGTGTGCGCCGCACACCTACATCGCTTCATCGCTTCATCGCTTCATCGCTTCATCGCTTCATCGCTTCATCGCTTCATCGCTTCATCGTTTGTAAAAATCGGCTGGTGTGCGGCGGCCTTTATCTGCATTCCCCCCCCCTCTCTCTCTCTCTCTATTATACAACAGCCCTTCACTATTAACCCCCTCATACACATGCTGGCTAAAGCCCACGCGTGCACGCGTGCGTGCGTGCATGTACGTGTACGTATTTATTTATTTACGTTGCTCTACTGGGCGCCCGTGACTGTCAGTGTAGCAGTGTGACTGTTCGTAGTCTCGCAGCGACCGCCACTCGTCGTCAGGTGGCGCGACGGTCGCTGTCTTTCCCGTCGTGCTCGCTTCGATGTAGTTTAAATGTAGTATATTATGTATTCACGATATAAGATTATTATTATTATTATTATAATATGAACTTTAGTGACGTTTTTGATTGCGATTAGAACCCAAGTAGGCAATAGTGACGTGTAGAGATTGTCATTAGTGGTGTGACGTAACAATGGCAGCCATGTCGGCGCTTTGTTTGTTCGTGTTCTGGTTGGTTGAAGTTTTGCAAGGCAGTGGCCGTGATGCATTGTTTGTAATACTAATAGTGCATCTAAATGAACTAAATATGTAAATTCTTACAGTATTAGTACTTAAAAAAATTACTGGCTTCTCTCTCCACTTTCATATCAATTCCTCTATTTATTGGTGTATAATCATTGCAATATCCAGTGTACATAGAACTTTTCGTAACAATTACGTTATACAAGTAACATCAGGAACTTAATTTGATGATGGTACAGGTAGCTAGATTTTCGAACTATTGTTTCGAACGTCAGTGAGAAAGATTGTTTTAAATGATAATTCTGTACCCGTGATACTGTATCCGTACTCACGTGTAAAAAGCACGCTAGCTGTTGTATATGATGACAAGATATTAGCAAATACGATCTATTCCAAAGTCTAACCGTGTTTGCGTTCCGTGTTTGTTGAGCTAACCTGCCTTTGTTTGTCTACCGTGTGTGTGTGTGTATGTGTGCTAAATACAACCCTGTCCATAGCATTATTGGCCTTAATAGGAACTCATATCACCCCTCGGCTTATTCGTTTGATGTATTTAATTTGACGTTCTTTTTGATTTATGATTCCATAATGCTTTGACGAGCACTGCCTTGCCACTTGAACTTGTTGGATTATGCAAGTTTGTTTGTTTGCTGCGTTGATGTCAGTGTATTCGCATGTACATGTATGATGTTTGCGAGATGTGTGTGCGTGCGTTCGTGCGTACGTGCGTGTTGGAAAAGTCACAAGTGCCATGAGATTTTTACCTACATTTGTTTCGTATGAAGCAGACCAGAGCCCGCGGGATGAGACGCGAGGCTGAGGGGATGGTGGGAGGAGGGGGGAGGGGGGCCTCTCAACCGTGTTTGCGACAGATGCTCACGAGGTATGCCTAGTAGAGGAACGGTTGTCAGGGCGTAGGTACGTGCGTAATCAGCGGCTGTCTATACCACTAGCAGTGAACACACAGGGGGGAGCAGGCGGCACAGGTGTAACTAGACAGAGGACACTCACGGAGTGCATACCTCCGCCAGCGACATACGCCATACGCCCCATGTAACATGTATGTGTTACGAGCTGGCTCGCCGCTCGCTGCTGGCTGCTGCTGACTCGACGCGCTAATATCGATCGCGCGAACACACTAACACACGAACACACTACACGAGAGCGATCACATAACCTCCTCCACTCCGTGGGCGGAGGTAACAACTAGCTCTACCTGTGTCAGTCACAGAGACACCCGTCGTCAGAAAGATCACGAATCCACGTCTAAATTGTCGTCTAAATGAAACTTCTGCAGTGAAGTGTCGTGCAAAATCATGTGACATTTAGGAAGCATGATGTCATCAGTTCTCGTAGTGGTTTTGTCAACGGGGCTTTGGTAATGCTAGGGTGCCAATGTGTG